TTTACAATAAAGAGTACAAAATGCATTCGGAAGTATAAAAGATCGCGCACACTATACCTGCACGGACCGGCACGGACCAGACCAGTAAAATCTACCGGTGAAGGTGACCGTGTTATTTAATAGAGTAGAGCACACTAGACCAGTACCAGCACGTACCGCCACAAGCCACGACCGTCAAAACAGGTCGTGTCGGTCAGGGACAAATATGACCGGTAATATTTATGCCTGGTCGTGCTGGTCCGACCTAATGTGCGCACCGACGAACCAGCACACCTCCACAAACATGCAAATATTGAAGGGTTTGTCAGTATTTCGAGTACGCTAGGTGGCTCAAGTCGCATGATGTAGGTTAGATTTCGTTTATTTTTGTTCGAACCTTTAAATCGTTTTAAATATGAATGAAGAAAAGCTTATTTTACTGGTACAAAAGTATCCAGAGCTGTGCGATACGAGCCAAGCATTTCATATATAGAGACCAAGAAAGAAAAGATGCAATATGAGAGTCGATAGCAAAAAAAAATAATCAAATTTGATTTGTGACATTCGAAAATATTGGAAAACTTTTCTTCGAATCTTTTTAATTCAGGAAACAAATGATGAAATTCGCCATATTGCTTTCTCTTTTGATTTATAGGGTGAACCCAAAATCTTCTTTTTTTCTTAGCTTCCTTCTCTTCCTCCTCTTCTTCACACAACATGGCTAAAATAATAATTTCTTCCTCTGAACTACTCATTTTCAATACTTCTATGTTACACGCTCTAGTAGTTGAGCCTTGACAACTGTACTTTTTTCAAAACTCTCGCTTATGTTGCTGGTCTGTGGCGGTAAAGTGTGCGATGTCATGCAGGATGCAGGTTTGTGCTGTGCTGGTCCGTACTGGTCCGTGTAGGTATAGTGTGCGCGATCTTTAAGAAGATATGTTCAAAAAGCTATAAATAAAATTGAAAGAATAATAAATTTGTGTAATAGGCAAGGTGGTAACCCTTTCGAACATGTAGAGCATTAGAGACAAGTTTGTAGAAGGTGATTTATTTATAATAACTATGATTAATATTATGCATATTGTTAGATCGTACACTGAGAATTTCAAATTCACAATAAAAAAGTTAAAATAATATCTTTAAATTGCTGAGCTGGATAATTTATTTGGGTCTTTCAATTGGCTCGATTTTCCTAATTCAATGTTAATTAGCGCTGATCAATATTGTTGCAATGAATATAATCAGAAACCAGGGTCATAACCAGTCATCATAAATATTTTAAGAAACCAGGGTCGGACTTGGAAATATTTTAAAAAATCATTATAAATAGTTTTGTTGTTGTTAAGGTACCCAAAACAAAAAAAAAAGTATAAAGTGTGGCATATAGTTGTACTCAGGAGACCGAGTTCTTTCAAAAACTGAAATAAAAAATGCAGGTCCGTATTTAAAAAAATGAAGTCGCCCTCTGTATCTCACAAATTATCAGCTAATTTGAAAATCTAAAAATACTGTCAGATAGCCCTAATAAAGTGGCTATGAGAATATGCAATTAGTTTTTTGATTTTCTAAAAAGTAACGACAGGAAAAACTAAAATTGATTTTCAAAAAAATTCGTTTTTTCCAAAAAACTCAGCAATCCTTGAAATTAAAAAAAAAATTGATAGCATCTTGGTGAACATTCCAAGGCGCAACTTTACCCCAATTTAACCATCTTAGTATCTATTACGGTTTCCGAGATACCAATGCTCGTACCTCGAATTTGTAGCACCCTGTATAGGCAATATAAGGATAACATCTGGCGTAAATTCGCTTTGTTTTTTGTGGTTATGTGTAATTGTTTTGTTATCGTTGTAAAGTGCTGTGCGGTATTTTCCCTATGGAAGAACTTTTCTGTGAAAAATTAAGGTACCTAAACTAGGCACTCGCAAAAATGTAATAGTGCTTGTTTATCATTTTTGCAATATAATGAAGTCATAGCAAAAGTTAAGCGCACAAGAGAAAAAGATATTAAGGAATCTAGTGACTATGAACTTATTAAACGTTTCCATATGCTTGAAGTAGCGAGTAGCGGGTTTGAAAAAAACGAATAACTCCCGTTGAAGAAAATTCGGGCATACTTTATTTTATCCACGATGAAGAACTTTATTAAAAAATATGTATTTTTTAAATTGGATTAGGATCGAAAGAAATCAACAGAAGTCCTTTGTTTTAAATTTGTCGACGTTTCACAAAATTTATTTGCATCTTCAGGACAATTTAAATGCAAATAAATTTTGCGAAACGTCGACAAATTTAAAACAAAGGACTTCTGTTGATTTCTTTCGATCCTAATCCAACTTAAAAAATACATATTATATATTATTGGATGGACAACAATAAAAATTAGATTTATTAAAAAAACCTCGTACCAATAAGTAATGTTTATGAATGTTGTTTTAAATTGTTTTGTACGCTTTAAAATGTTTACTATGTTTTCCCTTTTAATATTTAGAAGTTAGAAGGTTATTCGATATTTTCTATAATTTTTAATAAATATACTAAAGAAGTAAATTGTAATTTTAAGGTATGTGGATCACCTTGAATATTGAGATGATCCAATATTCTTAAAAGGTTTATTTGTTCTAACTTCCACCAACATTCTTCCTCACCACACTCACCCTGTGCAATAGAATAACTTTTACTGGCAACCTTTAGTAAATGTTACTGCCACCATAGTAAATGTTAGAAATTACTAGGAAAAGTCGACAAATCTATTTAAAATACCACATTCACTGGTCCAATGCGTAATCATATAATATATGATTATATAATAAATCACTGAATTTCCGATTTTCACTGTAACATGCATATACAGGGTGTCCCAGGTTGAGCGTGCATTAGAAGTTTCTAGAGAAACACAATATCTAGATCGGAGATTTTACACATTTTTGCACATCATTGTTTTACAACGAGATCTATCGATTAAAAATATTTTCAATATGGCGGCACTTCCGGAAATACAGGAAGTTGACTACAACTTTCTTATTTTAAATGGCCGCCCCTATTTTTTATTACATACTTACATTCTCTGTAAAATTCTATGAATATTTATGTTAAACACTCTATATCTAACATTAACCGTTTTTGAGAAAAAAAAAATATTTAAAATTTTTGGACGAAAAAAACTACCTGTCAAAAAATTTGTATAGCCTAAAAGTCAAATTTAGTGATTGCCTTAGCTACTGTGACATAAAGAGAAGACATGTAGCTATCTATTTCAAAAATTAAATTGTTCAAATGTCATATGATAATGGCGGTAGCTGTCATGGAATTGAGTGATTAAAAAGTTATCATAAATCATTTTTTTTTTCAAATGGAAACCTACTTTTTTTATTTCACTAGTGAAAAGATTTTACAATTCGTTACTTTTTAACTATACATGTTCCTATACCAAAAATAAATCGTTTTTAAGTTATATAAGATTTAGTTTGAAAACGTATATTTTTCTTGATTTTATCTAGCTTCCTTTGAGTGTCAAAAAGTCAGACAATTTATTTCCATCTGTCAGAAAACAAATTATTGGAATATCCTATATTGTAAATACTGTTGCCTTAAAAGTTTAAAAAGTGTATATATAAAAATATATCTCGTATTTTCGCTCCTTAGTGATATCTAATAGTTGATATTATTAATTATTTTAATAATGTACTGTATCAACCCCCAAAAAAAAACGCAAAGTTGGCTTGCAAATGATGATCGATAACATATACTGCTTTTTGAACAAACTGTCACAATACGACATGGCCAGATCTATTGTTTTACATCACTTGACGTTTAAAGTAATAGGCTACTTGTTAAAATCAAGAAAAATATACGTCAAAACGTAACGAATTGAAAAGCTTTTTCACTAGTGAAATAAAAAAGTGGGTTGCCATTTGAAAAAAATGATTTATGATACTTTTTTAATCTCTCAATTCCATGACAGCAGCCATTATTACATGACATTCAAACAATTTAATTTTTGAAATAGATAGCTACATGTCTTCACTTTATGGCACAGTAGCTGTGGTAATTACTAAATTTGACGTTTAGACTATACAAATATTTTTGACAGGCAGTTTTTTTCGTCCAAAAATTTTAAATATTTTTTTTTCTCAAAAACGATTAATGTTAGGTATAGAGTGTTTGATATCAAAATTCATAAAATTTTACAGAGAATTTAAGTATGTAATAAAAAATAGGGACACCTATTTAAAATAAGAAAGTTGTCGTCAACTTCCGGTATTTCCGGAAGTGCCGCCATATTGAAAATATTTTTAATCGATAGATCTCGTTGTAAAACAATAATGTGCAAAAAATCTCTGGTCTAGATATTGTAGTTCTCTAGAAACTTCTAATGCACGCTCAGCCTGGGACACCCTGTATACTCCTTTAAAGTAGGTTTATTTTTGTTAAAAAGTTAAATAACGCATTTTTACGTTTTTTTAGAAAAATAAATAAAAAATATATATTTTTAGAAAGTTCATGAGAAGGCAAGTGAAATAAAAAAAATAATATGTATACAGGAAGTCCCATATAAGTTTGAGTCATATTTCACGAATAATAGCTCCCAACGAAAAACTCTATGGGACTCATTTTCGATAAGTTATAAGGTAATCGAGATACGAGGAGCATCAAAAAATTAAACAATTTCAAATTCGCCCGTTTATTTCAGGACCCAGGAGAGCTAGGACAAATAAGTTTAGTGTGTAGAATTTTTAGTTTCATAAAAAAGTAGCAAAGTAGTGTGAAAACCGCATCTTTGTACCTCTATTCATAAACGAGACGTAGAGACCCTGTAAGACACGAAAATAGGATACCCCCTGTACTACATTCTTGATATAATTATCTTCAGTTCGTAATTATAAACATATACTGTGTAAACAAACTAATATTTTCTTTATCAATTTTTTTGAAACTCGTTAATGTCAACAATTATTATTTATTAAAAACAACTATGTGTGTGTGTATCTAAGAAAATAACTTTATATGATACTTACGACAAGCTATATTCAGCAATTCGCATTTCTTAGATGGCACCCACAAATTTGATGATCCAGTGTCAAAAATTACGTTAAAATTTTGAGGCGGGGTACCAATGGAAATAGGGCCGTAATATTGAGCCTGTAATAAATAAGAAAACAATTTGTTATATTTTAAAAAAATATATAAATTTCAATAAAAAAGGCAGCAGTCTACATTAAGATCTTTATCTTTTTTATATTGTAGGCCGATCAAGTTTAGGTTTAGATGTGACTGGCCGGCCGTGGCTCCAGCAGTTCTGTGTTGGGAGTTGCTGTATGAGTGTCCAGTGTCACAGGGTGTCCCAATATTCCGTGGACATAGAACTACTACGTATTTTTGGAATCAAAATAAGTTCATTGGACACAATTTACCTCTATACAAAAGTGGTTAGTGTGTCTGCTAGAGGGAATCAGAGTAGAAATAAACACATTTTTTCATAAATAGTACTGAAGCTGTAGTTGGTTCCTTGTGCAACATCGTTGAAATATTAGTATTTTAATAAAACACGCTTTTAGATGCATCAAAAAACTTTTAATAAGAGTAACTTTAACCTCTACATATCTATATGTTTCGGCTTTGTTAGGCCTTTTTCAATTCTTAAAAAACTCTTGAAAAAGGCCTAACAAGTCGAAACATATATGTAGAGTTACTCTTATTAAAATTTTTTTGATACACCTAAAAGCGTGTTTTATTAAAATACTAACATTTTTTCAGATATTTTAAGAACTGTTATTTTGATTTGAATGATATTTTGGGTGTCTATGTTTTGCTAAGTGCTTTAGCATTTGACTTCCACGAAAGTCAAAAAAAGTACGGGAAGGGCGAAAACTACCCCCATTCCTACATAAATTTTAGTATAAATATTTTCCAACTCCACCGACGACATATTTTCATTTCGTAAAATAGTCCCTCTAGTATTTACTACATTTTTTATCTCTTAAAAAAAAACGTCGCATTGCATAGTTTTTGAGAAAAAAAAATTGGAGAATTTATTTTTCCAAAGCAGACCTACAAAATATACAAGGAGTTGTGAAAAAATAATTTATTAATATTCTGTGGACATAGAACTAGATATTTTTTGAATCAAAATAAGTTAATTGCACATAATTTACCTTTATACAAAATTGTTTCGTTTGTCCGTTAAAGGGCATCAATCTAAAATAAACCCGAATGTTAATTAATTTAAATTTACTAATTTTTTTAAGCTTTTTATGAAGCTTATTATCAAATATAATTTGTGATACAAACAAAAAAATCAATTTTTTCGCCAAATAGATTAATAGAGCATAAGAGATTTTATGCGCCTCCATAGCTTGATGTGACAAAAAACATTTTTGGAATTTGGAAGTCAGCTTCGAAAAAATATGTTTTTCCTCAAAAAGGATGCGCGGTGGCATTTTTATACAAGAGACAAAATCGTATGTAGTAAATACCGTATGATCCAATAAGCGATGGCCATGAAATGACGATCGATGACATTTCCCATATAATTTTACATATAGAATGACAGCGATCTTCGCTGACGCCGTTTTTATTCGATCATACGGTACTAGTAGGACCATTTTACGAAAAAAAATCAGTCGTTGGTGGAGTTGGAAAATATTTCTAGTACAATTTATGTAGGAGTGGGGGTAATTTTCACCTTTCTCGAACTTTTTCTTGATTTTTGTAAAAGTCAAATATTAAAGCGCTTAGCAAAACATAATCACCCCAAATCTCATTCAAATTGGAATAACGGTTCTAAAAATATCTTAAAAAAATCTGTTTATTTTTTTAAAGTTTGATGCCCTCTAACGGACAAACGAAGCAAACGAAGAACTTATTTTCATTCCAAAAATACGCAGTAGTTCTATGTCCACGGAATACTGGAACACCTTGTATAGAGAATTTCGGTCTATTTGCACAACTAAGTACCTTTACCTTGAAACGTTCAATTGATATTCCCAATAGCCGTTAATACACGCAAGGGATTTTTTAAAGATTTGTTATATTTGTTGATAAAAATCGGATATGTGGCAGTCCGATAAATTTCGCCTTAATACAAATGATTTTGTCATTTACAGCGAGGTTAACAACCACGAGAATCGGATATGAAAGATCACATGACGACCGAGTCGCCGGATATGAAATGTCATATCTGGACTGCGGACTGATCGCTTAAAAATCCCTTGCGTGTATGGGCGGCTAATCTTAATTAATGTTAAAATCGTTTATAATAAATCTTGTCTTACCGCAAAATGCATAGTGCATAGGCGGTTTAAGAAAGGAAAATTTTGCCAAATGCTGCTCCGTTTTCTTTAGTTTTGTAGGCTCATGGTAGAGAAGCAATTTTCCCATAGAGGAATTTATCAAATTATATTTTTATACCAACTGATTTCAGTTTAAAAAAAAGGAATAAAATTATCAGACATTTCCAATACTTCTGTTTACTGAGATTTTAAAATACATAACTTTAATCGAATTTGTTTATATTAGATTAAAATGTACTTGAAGCGTGACGTATAATTTTTATATCTGTATTTACCACTGATATACTTTTTTTTCTTGCAAATTACTGATAACGAAATATACCTGTTAAAAATGCCGCTGTTTTAAAGAGTAGAAAATACAACGCAAACTAAAATTATGTCAGTGTAAATTTATTAAGTACTTAATACTGCTGGGAAATAACAATCGACCTCGTCAAAATTTCTAGACGTGATTTACTAAAGTCGAGATTCAATCAATCATTTATTTATTTCCATAAAACAATGTACAATTGTATAGGAATAGTCAATAAATTCTTAAGGCTAATAACAAATATATAATACAAAATATACAAAAAAACACAACAGATTATAATAAAATTATCAAAAAATTATCATATACTCCTAGGTCTCATATTACAATTTGAAGGTATTCCTCCACACTATAAAAGTTCATTCCCAACAAATAATTTTTTAAATTTAACTTAAACTTATTTAGTGTATTACAGGATTAAATTTTAATAGAAATATTATTAAACATATAAGGTCCTATATTGTGTGGTGATCGATAAGCCACCTTAGATTTACAAATGCTTATATGCTTCTAGTACTAAAACTATGTACGCTACAATTTCTCTTAAATTTATCATAGTTGAGAAAAACGTATAGACACGCTTCATATATGAACAAAGATGGAAGGGTTAAATTACTAAATTTGTTAAAATAGTCCCTAGAACTCTGTGAGGGCAATATGCCTGCCAGAGACCGTATACACCTCTTTTGATCAATGAAGACATCTCGAGAGAGAAGTTGACCAACCCCAAAAACACCTTATCTCAGTCTTGCATCGACATTCGCAAAATAAACTTGTTTTAATTGATCGTGATGTTAGAACTCATTTTAGTTATCTTAAGACAAAACTTTGGGACCCTATTTTAGGTACGAGTTGAGCATAATGTGTTTTCCAGTTAAGGCTGGAGTCAATGTAAAGTCCAAGGAATTTAGTAGTCTCACTAAAAGCTATATTTTTATTATCTAATTTGACCTCCAGTTCACTAACAGACCTCTGTGCATGATGAAAACGTATACGCGTTGTTTTGGTGGGGTTTAAATAAAGTGAATAATCAGAAAACCAACAGTCAATTGCTTTAATTAAATTATTACAATTTTGCTCTAAAGATACTTCGGACTTGTCTGATATTAACAAATACGTTTAAATTTACATATACCGCGGCCTCCCCATAAGAGCAATGAGAGAATTTATGTCCCAGAATTGAAGGACAGAAGATCGAGTTTGACATAAGTCCATCCTTGTTCAGTAGCTGGATGTAATGCACATGCGCCGAAATGCTACTTTTCTATTGGCCGAATGGTGTCGAGATGGGTTATCGATTTATTTTTGGACGCGTCGTCGGCGTGGATTTTGTTTTCAGTTTGGACGCCATTAGTGTCATTAGTGTTTTCTCTAACTTTCTGTGTTTTCCACGTGTACTGTGTTTTCGTTTGTATTTTAATCTTTGTGCGTTTATTGACAATTTTGTGATTTAGTTTTAAAGACTTTTGCTGTAGTTTAATTAATAGAACAATGGGAATGGGCTACTGCTTTTTGTGTGGTAGAAGCCAACTAACAAAATCAATAATAGAAATTTTTCTCGATGTTCGTTTGTATCATGAAAGCAAAATCAGAAATAAAAGGGATGTTAATATAAGACAAAAATATACGAAACTAATTTTATTCAAAAATCAATAATTGTTAAAAGCATTATATTTAGTCTTACCATTTTAAAATAAAAAAGACATTATAATGTAAAGACTAAAAATAGAGACTACATAAGGCTAATTATAATGCTTACACAGTTACACACAGACTGTCTTATTGTAAATTATTATTGTTTTTTTTTTCATAATATAAAAGAGTATTTACAATGCAACAATGTAAATAATTATATTTTTTGTATCTAGCTTGATTTATGTATAAACTTAATATGTACATACTTTTAGTTATATTTGTTTAATAAAAAATATGTTAATAATAAAGAATTACTTTTGTTTCATTTTAAACCAGGACTGATGTTGATTATTGATCATAAATACCATGGGCAGTAAAAGAAGCAATAGACAGTAAAAATGTACTGTTATACTTTGTTTTGCTGCAATTTTTAAGTCGAGTAAAATAGATATGCAATTTGTACTACAAAGTTTGGTATACCCAAAGTTTTTAAGACAGTTCCATTGACAGTTTAATTGAGGTTTTACTAAATTATTTTTTGAATTTTAAAAAAAGTGAAATAGATATGCAATTTGTACTACGAAGTTTTTAAGACAATTTCTTAATAATTGTGGTTTTACTAAATTATTTTTTGAATTTAAAAAAAAATATCATACCTGTGACTTTTTTTCATTCGTTTTATTTAATAATAATTGTCTAACACAACAAAGTCTACTTAGAACGATATGATATAAATATAAATGAGTTCATTAAAAAATGGTCTAATTAAAATTAGTACCTAAATAAGCAAAAATTATCCCCTCATAAAACAAGAAATTAAGGAGTTCAGTAAAAGGATTGCAACTATATATTTTATTCAGTAAATTTTCATAATAGTAAGTATAAATAAAAGCACAATCTCTAAA